GTGTAACAAGAGTCTGCACCTTGTCACCCCCCGTGCATCTGTCTGGCTCTGTGGACTTTGTGAGACACCAGCACGGCTGGGGACCATGGGAGGCACAGCCACGACCCCGGCCCTCACTGCCCTTCTCTGCCTCAGTGAGCTTTGGGGAAGGGAGGGGGAAAGGGGCCCCTCTCCTCCCAGGTCTGAAGCTGAGAGACCCCAGGTCTCAGGAGATCAGTGGGGGCAGAAATTGTGGGGGAGGAAGGCTGTGCTCAGCCCCAGATCTGACCCCAGAACTCAGGGCCCAGACCAGGCCTGGAGCATCTATGATGTGTGCTGGGGGATGGGCGCTCACAGAGAACTCTCTCCCAGGGCTGAGTCAGGGCCCGTGGAACCAGGTCCAAGAAAGTGAGGCCCCCCCCAGACCTCCTCCTTCAACCCAACAACCCCCTGGTCATCTGCGGGGAACACGGCAGGTCTGAAATGATGGTGACCTGTCTGGGAGGGGCCTGGGGAATGACAGCTGGGGAAACTGAGGGGAGAAGGGCACCCCTAACTCTTCTGGTCGGATCCCTTTCCAGGGGTCCTCACCAAACCCTCCATCTGGGCTGACCCAGGTGTCATGGTCGCCAAGGGAAGCCCTGTGACCATCTTATCTCCAGGATCTCTGAGGGCTGATGATTACCGTCTGTATAGAGAGAGGCCCTCTGGACTCTGGGAGGCTAAGGCCCCACAGGACTCCAGTAACAAGGCCAGTTTCCCCTTCGAATCCTCGAGCTCAAGCACCGCAGGGCAGTATCAGTGTGTCTATCGCAGCAGGAAAGACAGGTCAGAGTGGAGTGACCCCCCTGCCCCTGGTGGGGACAGGTAGGAGGGAGGACCCGGGTCCCCTCCCACTGCGGCGGCGTCCTTACAGGCAGAGGGAGCAGAGTGTGGGCTCAGGGGGACGGACGTCTCCCCTCCCAGCCCACACCTGCAGTGAGCGGGGTGAAGGCCCCCCTTTAACCCAGCCCCTTCCCCTCCCTCAGGGGTGCACAGAGCCCCTCCCTCTCAGCCCAGCCACGCCCTGTGGTGGCCTCAGGAGGGAGCGTGTCCCTGGCATGCAGCTCACAGTTTGCAGGGGGCACTTTGCACCTGCTGAAGGAGGGAGGTGCTGACCCGCCCGACACCGGACATCGAGGACCCATGGGAGGGGACAGGCCGTGTGCCCTGTGGGCCCCCTAAACTCCTCCCGTGGGGGAACCTGCGGATGCTATGATTCTCCCAGCTCCCTGCACATGTGTGGTCACACCCCAGTCACCCTCTGCATCGCCAGGTCACAGGTGAGGGCCCCCAGCCCCATCGTTTCCTGGACCCCTGACCTGAGCCTTGTGCCCAGTGAGCCCTGGGGTGATGGGGGGTCAGGGGCAGTGGCCTCCCGGGGCAGAACCACTGGCGGGAGGCCTGGGAGGGACCAGGGAGAGCTCTCACTGCAGCCCCAGTGAGCAGTGTGGGGTGTGCGTCCCCCTCGGTGCCACTGTCCCTTCTCTGCAGGCGTGTACAGGGAGCCCTCCGTCTCAGCCCAGCCAGGCTCACTCGTGCTCCGTGGAGACAGCCTGATCGCCGGTGAGCAGCCCCGGTCCTGCCCCACGTCCTGACTGTGTTCTCAGGGTGCTGGGCCCAGAGCCACCCCTGGTGGTGATGGGGTCCTGGGAGGGGTCCTAGAGCAGACATTGAGATAGGGCAGTGGTCCAGGGAGAGGAAAATGGAGCGGTGCCGGGAGATAAGAGAGACCCACACAGAGGGGCTGAGAGCAGCTGAGAGGGGGTCACAGACAGGGTCCCTGGAGAGAGGATGGTGGTCCCTCAGCTCAGGGTCAAGGGTGTGTTGGGGGTGGCTCTGTACACATCCCGACCTTCCTCGCCCCCAGGAATGTACAGGAAACCCTCCCTCTCAGCCCAGCTGTGGGCCTCAGGACCCTGCAGAGAGAATGTGACCCTGCAGTGTGGCTCTGAGGTCTGGTCCGATCCACTGCATCTGTCCAAGGAGGGGTCACTCACTCCTCCCCAGCACCTTCGTCTGCAGGACACGGCTCCACCCTTTCAGAACAGCTTCACCTTGAGTCCTGTGACCTCAGCCCACAGTGGGACCTACACGTGCTACAGCTCACTCAGC